TAAAAAAAAAAAAAGCAAATTTCTCCATTGGGCAGTTGTTAATTGAGTACCTACTGTGTGCTGATAGATTCCTAGTGGTGTAGTGACTTAAGTTCTTGCTTGCTGATTAAAATTTGGTGATTTAAACTCACTATCCATTCCATGGGAGAAACACGTGACAGTCTGGTTCCATAAAAATGACAGTCTAGGCTCTGAGGTGAAAGACAGTAGACTTGGGGACTTCTATGTTAACTGACACCACATGTTAGTAATTATAACATTCTGCATCCTACTTTGGTGAGTACTGCCTGGGGTCTTAAAAAATGTGCCAAATACTGTTGAAAGATGATGCATGGAGGAGATTGTAATCCTTGCATTGAAATGATGAGTGTAAAGCCAATGTTCTCCCATGTAAACTAATCCTTAATTCACAATAAAAACTTAAAACAAAACAAAACAAAAACAACAACATTAACTTTAGAAATTGGAAGTGGAAAGAGTACTTTGGAGAGTACCTTTCTTCCAAAAGTTCAACTGTATATTATTACCTTCTAAGAAAGCAATTGTGAAACACAAGGCAATTGTGTTTCATAGTAATTTAACATGTGTGGTGACACTGTGGGCTAATGTGTCAGATTGCAAAGCTGTTTGAACTGCAAGATCGGTGGTTCAAGCTTACCAGCTGCTCCTTGGAAACCCTATACAGGGTCGCTACGAGTCGGAATCAACTCAACAGCACTTAACAACAACAACAAAATATCTTCATATATGTAGCACATGTATTGACAAAATTTTTAGTAAAATAATTGTAGATTTTGAAAATTCACTTTCTTAGTCTCTTCAACAGAAATTCGTAGGAAAGTCCAGATTTCTGTAGACAAGGTTGAGGATCCAAAGTACTCTTATTAAGACCTGTGTCCTTGTGGCTTAGTTCCATGATCTCAGTGCTAGTTACATTAATTGTAAGCTGCTGCTTACATAACTGATGACTATTTGGCACTTGGATACCTGTTGGTGTGAGGCACCTACTGCTATAACTGGGAATTAATAAATGAGAGAACAGACTCCTTAGCTGAAGAAGGTAATACTCAAGAAAGAGTGTGATTTTAATTTGTCAGTCTAAAGTTGTAACTTAAAACGGCTTTCTAAAATTATAATTTAGAAAATGGTGAATTTCCAAAGAAAATACATACATAAAAGCAGTTTTTTTTAAAGTCTAGTCCTTTCTGTTTTTAATGTCAATTTTCACGATTTCTGGTTTCTTTCATTATAGACCTGAATTGCCTATACTTTACCTTGATTTCAGTGTTCTTAGGGTGCTTAAAGGGCCCTGGTGTGGCACTGTAGGATAAGCACTGGACTGCTACCTGCAAGGTAGTCAGTCTATACCCACCAACCACTCCTGGAAACCATACACAGGATCGCTATGAATCCAGGCCGATTTACAGCACACAACAACAAAGGGTGTTTAGACAATGAAATATTTTCTCATCACTCTACTCATTATGATTTTGGGGTCAATATTGTATAGTTTTGCATTAAAAACCCTCAAGAGCACTGAATTAAATAAAACTACTTATTCAAAATGTGAAACAAGATTGCAAATCATCTACCTGCGTTATTTACTTCTGCAATCTACAGAGGTTTAACAATCCCAATTATCTTTCAAATAACCAGGTATGGTCATTATACGTTAAACACTTATTCCAAAGTGTCTCCCCATATGTATAACTGAATATCAGCTATGTGGACCACATATTCATACAGCTAGAAGAGAACTGGGTTTGGTGACCTTCTGCTTCTCAACCAAGTTATGGACTCGCACTTCTTTGTATCACCACACCATGACTGTGGCATTGGACAATCATTTTTCCTCAGATTCAGATTTCTTTGATATATTGAGTTGTGGCTTCCAGCTTAGGCTGTCTCAAAGCCACTACAGTTTTAGAGTTTCTGTTTAGTATGAAGTTTCTGGTGTTTAATAAAATTTGATCTGATGGTGAAGACCTTTCACATTCAACACACATGTATGGCTTCTCTTCTGTGTGAATTTGATGATGCTCATGAAGCTGTGATTTTTTAAAAATGTTTTATTATGAATTATATGATAATTTACGTGAGAGAACATTAGTTTTACATTCATTCTATCGTATATAGTTTCATTGCCATGGTTCCAATACTCTCCAGGCATCATCAACCAACAAAAGGGTATACCCTGCAAGCCTACCCCCCTACACTAACCCCTCCCCTTTCCCTCCTCCCCCCCTCCCCCAATCTTC